GTAAACTTCGAGTTAAATAGATAACCTGCTGTTCTGCAAGTGGGCCTAAAAAACCATTCTGGCATAATTTTACATTGAATCCACTTTAATTATGTGTATATACTGTTTTCTTTATTTGACAGGAATTGGCTATATTAGCTTGGCTGTGAATTTGGACGTTCTTACATACTACAGCGTCTTTGCTGCCATACCGTTACTCTACCTCTTCCATTCATTGCGTCCCACCTTACCATGGAGCTGTGAGGGTTTAAAGAGTTGGTCATATAACTTTACCGAGCATCAAGTGAGACATGTGAGCATAAATTAACGATTAAGAGTTATATGTATATACGAGTACATATCGTCCCTGGACACGAATAAAGGCGCGAACTCAAAAGTTTACCGCGCAAAAAGGCGCATAAAAAACTTCAGCGAAGAAAAACTCTTAACATGGTTGACGGCGAAGAAAGACGCGTATACTCATTATCGCGGTCAACAGTATGTAAATGCCCCAAGGAGTTTTTGGGGAATGATGCTGAAGTGATAGTCCTTGGCTAGGTATTAATCTATGTCTATGTCACGTCTTTCTTCACCGTCAGCTAGGTTACGCGTCTTTCTTCCCGAAGTTTTTCTTAAGTGCCTTTTTTCGTAAAAAATTTTCTGCAGTGTATACTTTAGATGTGCTGCAGAAAGGCTCTGGACCATGCAAGCGCATGTGGGTTCCACGTATTGCGAGATAGTCAGCCCTTTCGTTGCCTTCAAATCCTTTATGTCCAGAGACCCACCACATTGGCACTCTGTAAAGGGCCCCCAGGCGGTTCAATAGAATTGAAACTGTCCAAAATGTTCATGTTTTTCTAGATGAGTCTAAGGCATTTAACGCTGCTTGACTATCCTATTGTCCTCTTACGAAGACATTCTCGAGCATAGCCTTCGTTTGCGAAGATTTCCGCCAAGAAATTAGTGCGCTATGAGCCCATTGGCAGACTTTTCCAAGTGCGCATACCCAAGCACTCTCGTCGCCCATCTTCGATCCATCGGTTTATCATACTTGGGACCCTTTGTAGGTCGTAGTTATTATCGCTTCACAGTGGACCTTTGTGGGAATTCTGGCCCTGTAGGGCTAGTCAAAGGATAATTTCGGTAGCATAATATCGGTAAGCTTGTTATCGGGATCATCCAGCAATGGCTTGAGAACCTTCAAGTAGCCCCGAAGATACCCACTTTTCATGGTGATTATACTTGGCAATCATAAGGCGCTCCACCAGGCCACCTTTTCAATCAGAATATACAGTGGAGTGGAGGAATGGCTCCTGTGATGGCGCATAGCTGCTGTGATGGCCACGCAGACCAAGCGGTGTATCTTGCTCAACGGGGCTCCCACGCTTACTTGCTTAGCTTTGGCCTCCAGGGCAGTGCCGCATATGTAACAACGGGGTTTACTACCGTATTGAAGACCAATATGTTAGTTTTCGCCGATATCGCCGCAACCTGGCATTCATATAAGTCGGGCAAAGAAACACGCACCCGGTATTCCTAAACTCCAATTAACATTATGGACTTCGCGATGGTTTGATAGAGCTAAGAAATTAACATATGTATGAGAAAGATTTGAGATTAGATTTGCTCTAAAATTTAAAGATTTTAGGCTAGGTATGTTCTAAAATGTAATGGTTTTAGGTTAGGTATATTCTAAAAGTTTAAACTAGTTACAATTAAAACCCACTTACGTATCACCGACAAAAAAATAACGTGAGCACCAGGTAGGTACTCATTAAACTTGATCTGTGTACGGTTTGTCAAAGCATTATGTGATTCAGTTACATAAATAAATAACTTAGGTTACAAATCAAATATTTATTTAATTTTATTTTATTCGTTTTGTCGGAACCAGAACACGAATTTTTCATAACCACTTCGAGAATAGTTCAGGACTAGTTCAGGACAAATTATCCCGAAATGATCCCGAACTAAGCCCAAGCTTGTCCTGAAGTAACCTTGAAAATGTAGTCAACATGTCCCGAAATCATATCGAACAAGTCTTGAAACAGTTCCAAAATGGTCCCATGCTAGTCCCAAAATAAGCCCAAACTGAGCACCAAATACTACTGAACTGGTCCTAAAATGTCGCGAACTATCCCGAAAAGGTCTGGGAATAGTCCTGGAGCAGTCCCGAAATGGGGTTAAACTAATTCTGAATTAGTCTCAAATAGTGTAGAATTAGTCCCGTGATGGTAATCAAGCAGTTCCGAAGTGATCTTGAAATACATAGCTCCGAATTGGTCCTAAAATAATCCTGAACAGATCCTGAAACGGTAGTAAAATGATCCCAGTCTAGTCCCAAAATGTTCCCGAAAAATCGTGAGTTTGTCCCGAAGTCATTTTGAACAAGTCTTAAGATGGCCCGAAATGCTCTCGAGTACTATTTAAAACCATTGAATTACATTTTTTTTCTGGTTTTTTTACAGCTCTGCCATATTTTAAACAATGATACGGCGCCACCGTTAACTAATAACTCCTGGTTTGTCACACACGAAATACCATCGAATTTATTTTTAAAGTAAATATTAATCTCTTCAACACCGTAATTGAACCTTTCTTTCACAATATCGAATTTTCGCCATAGATCTCGCTTTAATCATATGGAATTATTTGAACCCAACGATGACGGCTTCTACATCTCCTGGGAAGTGTTGCTTTGTACGCTACTCATATGGTCAATAATTGTGGCTGTCTTCTATAAATGGAGAAGCATAGAAAAGGTTTTTAGTACATGCATATATATACATAATTGAAATTACCGGTTTTTTTTAGAATATTTAATATGCACTTCCAACTTTGCAGTTAGGCACAGTGCTGCGTTATTGCATATTCGCCACTTTTGATTTGCTCTTCATCGCTGTACTACGTTTTGCTTTGATACCAAAAGATCCTTTGCTTACAATCTATCAATTCTTCATACCACATACGTTCCTGCGTGGTTTTCCGACAGTAAGCCTTTATATTGTATCGGTATTTGGGGTCGGTTGGGGCTGCATAATAGCATTGGCCAGTTTCAATAGATTCCAAACGAAAATCATAGAAAATAGTTGGACTATTTGCCTAGCGCAATTATGTATGTTTTTATCATTTGCCTTTATTATTTATGTGACGGATAATTACTTTGAAGGTGAGTGGTGAATATACTCGTATGTACATTAGGGTGGTTCCAAAAATGCACGTGAAAAAGTAAAGTGTTGATTTTAACGCTCTCATCCGTAGGATTGCTCTGTACCGAAAAAATTATACACCTGTTTTTTTTTATTTTGAAATCAAAAATATTTAGAGGTCGCTCAAACCGCTCAAAGTTTTCCGTGTATTTTATACGGGGAAAAACAAGTTTTAATGGTATAGAATTCTTGAAAATCAATTTGTTCACCCAGTATAGAGCAATCCTAGGAGGTGAGAGCATTAAAATTCCGACTTTGCTTTACTTTGCTTTGGAACACCTTAATGTAAATACATATCGAGGGCTTATATTCAATACCCTCTATTCCTTATTCCTTTTCAGAAATAAAGGATGCATATAATGCGGACAATCCAGATTCCTATGCGTTTTTAAATCATCTATGGGCTCTATTTCTGTCCACGGGCAGTGTAATGGCAGAGATGACATGGCCAAGTCTATGGTGTATTTTATTTTATGCAATGCTGCTATTAGCGGCGTTAATTACCATGGTGAGACATTTAAGCTTGAACTTATACTTATACTTATACTTATACTGCATACATCCTTTACTTGCAGGTGACCAGCCTACTATCAACTCTGCAGAGCATCTTTGATGAATTTGAAGAATTGCGTGCGCGCAAAACTGAAGTAACTTACATTGTAATCGGCCTGTTAGCCTTTTGCTCGCTCTACACTTGTACTAATGTACCGCTAATGAGTATTTAAAATTTCTGAATTTAGTCTATTTGCTTTAAATCTTCCAGCGCGGTGTCTTTTTCCATATCATCCAACGATACGCTCGTCACACAGACTGCCCTCAATCTTTTGTTATTCTTCGTCGTGCTGTGGGTCTATGGGCGAGTGCGTTTCCAACGCGATATTGAATTTATGTTAGGTCAAACATTTTCAACATGGAAGATTTATATGCTGCGCTTTGTTTCACCTCTGTGTCTTATACTGCTATTGGTAAGTGATCTACCAACAGAAACTTTAGAATAGATATCACTGCTGGAGGAGATAAATGGAGTAAAAGATAAAAGGTGTAGGCCTCGTCTTCCTAAATATATATACCCCTTTTGACTTACGCAGACTTGTAGTTTCTAAGTAAACTGATCTTGGTACATTTGATCCATCCACTAATCATCTCTACTTACAGTTAGGAACACTATTCATAGCTGTGGTGCATCACGATTTCGGTACGATTGTTCTACAAATCGCTGCGCTTCTATTTATAGTCCTACCATGGCTGTATGTACCGGGTTATATGATCTATATAATGCTACAAACCACGGGGACATTCAAGACGCGTTTTAAGCGCTGCCGTGGACCGACAACGCTATGAGGAAGCAATGCGCAATACAGATGCGACACACCAATTGAGTCATGATGAAACGGAGATTTAGTTTTAGTGAAATAACAATATTTAAATTTAAAATTTGTAAAAAAGAAATGTTCAAATGATATTAAGAAATCACATGTCGAATATAATGTTTAAGAACTTTTTAAAACCCTGGGCTAGTGGTACTATCCAGGTATAGAGGGGGTATACTCTCCACACTGCATCAATACATT